AGTATAATGTTTGTGTTATAATGTTTTTTTTTTACTTTTACTAATACAGCCCATACTGGAAAGCTTTCCTGGGTTTGCCCCTGATTAGACGATCCTTGCTATACTAGCTATGGTGAATGTTGAGATTGCGAGGGGGTCCTTTTGGCAGGTCTGTGTCCCTGCCCAATCTTTCGAAGATACCAATGGACTCTATGGGATGTCTTTTCTCGCTAGTTGAAGTGTAGGCCATCCACCCTTCAAGGATTGCTTGACATGGATATTGCAATGGAATAATGTTATTTATCATTATGATGATGAAATATCAGTGATGTGACAGTCTATTTGGAATAATGAGATTAAACAGTTCAATTTTTATGAGATAAATGGAGATGATATATATATATGTGTGTGTGTGTGTGTGTGTGTGTGTGTTGTTAAATCATCAATATTTTATTATCGTGATGATAAATAGTATTACTCATTGCAGTGATTCCTCTTATTGGAATGTGATGAAGTGTTAAAACATTGATGGTTGTTGAGAGAGATGGACCTTAGAGGGCTTCGTTGGCTATGACTTCTTTCGTTGCTTTCCTCGATAAAGGCCCTCAGTAATTGAGCATTCTCCTAATTAAGATGTGTGATATCCTTGTTGGAATGTTTAAGGCATTAATTTCGTTAACGAATTTCTTCCTTACAAATACGGGGTGAGACTACAAAGCTTGTTTTACCTCAGGTCATCGGTCATCACTGCTTTGGCCAAACGACGATACTAAACGAAAACTAGAGGATGATGGTTAATGCGTCATTGCCTTCGCTTGACCGATGGTGAACATGTGGACTTTTACATGCCTTGTGACTGAGGATTCACATGGCATTATTTCTATGCTACCCTCACTAGGTCAAGATGTAACAAATATGTGGATGTTTATAAATTTTTTTATTTTTTATTATGAAAAGCTTCATGGAAAAATAAAAAATTCCATTATGCAAATAATGAAAGAATAATCGTCCATCCGTAATTTATCCATCATAATTTTATGTATAGACGAAATATACATTGATAAAATAAATAAACTTGAGATTGTCATTTCTTTATATATGTTAGTTTAATCTAAAATTTTGGAAGGAAAATAAGTCCATGTTTGGTGGAAATTAAAATCAAATTTTTAGTAAATTTTGATAAAATTGATGAATATATGGTTTACTTAGTCAAAATCTTCCTAAAATCTCGGTAAATTTATAATACAAAAAGAATTCCACTTGTTGTAAAATAACAATCTTCATAGAATTTGAAGGGGCCCACCACTCCAATATCTTCCATATTGCCCACTGCGTAGAATCTGCATAAATATGGATCACAATTCGAAAAACCCGCTAACATACTTGACTGCATAAATGCACGCATGTCCAAAGAAGTCACAACGTGCAACGGTCACCTTAAAGATCTGATCAAATATTATTCAAATTTAAAATGGATTGTAAATATTCAAATCAATTTATATATTTAGGAAAAAATTGAAAAGACTAATTTGATCCAATTTAAATAAAAGAAAATTAAGATTTTGGTGTCTTTGAATCAAATAGTGGCTTAATATATATTGATATAATTTGAATATTTTTAATAAAATAATTTTAAACGTAAATTCAAAATTTTTTCCATACTTTTTAATAATTTATTATTCAAAAAATCACGGGCTCCAAGAAAACCTAAATTTGAATACATTATACTTATCTTTAAACAAATATTTGGATAAAAAAGAAATTGAAACTTCTCGGAATTTTAATATTTTTGAAATTGTGAATTTATTTTAACTTCTCATTTCTGAAAAATTCCTTTATAATTGGCTATATATGGAAATTTTATACGTAACGTACCTCCGTTACTTTTCTCTATTTCGAACACAAATCGATCCCGTTGTTCCGAACCACTCGGCTCGGATTATACGAGCCTGGGGTTCGAAGATTCCGAATCTCACTTCTCCGATTCTCCTGCCGGTAATTAAAACCCTTCCATTTTCTCATTTTCTGTCCTTGTAAGAAGGAGAAACAGGAGTCTCAAAAAGTCATCGAAAAACTTTTGAAGTTGAAAAGAAGTTCCGATAGCCGGCGATTGAAATCGGAGTTTAGAAGGATGGCCGATTACGTTGAAGAACACGAGAAACACGAATCGGAAGCTGAATCGCTGATTGATAAGATCACTGATAAGTTTCACGGCGACAATTCGTCGTCATCGTCGAATTCGGATGACGAGAAAGACATCAAGGCCACGGCTGCAGCGGTCAAGGCAAAGATCTATCGTCTCTTTGGCCGCGAAAAGCCCGTGCACAAGGTTCTAGGCGGTGGGAAACGTAAGAATTCGTTCTGTAATTTAGTTGATAATGTTACACTTAAATGTTTGTATATACACTATCATATCGTTTGATTAGGGTTAAAATTTGATAAATATTAAAATGCACATATAAGTGGCACTGAAATTGTGTTTTGTAAGTGGATATTTTGAGTTAGGAACTTATTGGAGAATATACATTGAAAATGTTTCACTGTTTCTTTTCTATATAGTATTGACATAGTTCCGATCTTTCGTACCTGTCAATTGTATTCCAAATATGGATCATTGATCTCAATCGTGGAAAACATGTCAACTCTGTATTTCTTTTACTTTGTTGCAGTCTTTGTGTGAGCGTGTTCTTATTCTCTTTATATAGGCAAATGCTTTAGTTATTTATATTTTTCAGAACTGTAGTTTTTCTGTCTTTCACGTTTTTAGTCTTTGATAGTGATGGAAGCATGAGAAGTAATATATTTTACAAATAGATGCTTATGAATGTGCATTCAAATGTGGCAATGTGTACGCTGTGATTTTAAATTGGATAATGTAACCTTGTAGTCGTGACTTATTTATACTGTATTCTTTCTTTTGCCTTTCACACCATTCTTTTTGGATGCATGAACCATGGGTTGTGTGTTCTCTGGAATGCAGAGGGGGTCGGAATATGTTTAGGAAATATTGGGTTCTGTTTGTTGGTACATGCCTTGATTTTTCTTTTATTGTTCATTAGTGATACTTTTGTGTCCAAGTTCTTGATTAGAAAGTGCGAAAGATTGCACGCATAAATGTAAAGAAAAATAAGGTCTGAAACATGTTAGTAGACATCCCTTTCTCTTGCATCATTTGGTGCACATTAAATTGGTCTAACCTGGAATGCTGGAGTTATCATTTGAACTTTATGCAAATGCATAGTTCTTTGTACTGTATATATTGTTGATCTTACCATGGAGATTTTCTGGCAGCTGCTGACATTTTGCTATGGAGGGACAAGAAGATATCTGCTGGAGTGCTTGGTGTTGCCACTGCAGTTTGGATGCTTTTTGAACTGCTTGAATACCATTTGCTCACATTAGTATGCCATATTCTAATTCTGGCCCTTGGAGTTCTTTTCCTGTGGTCAAATGCATCCACCTTCATCAATAAGTAGGCTTTCTGAGTAATACTTGATGGCTTTTTTTTTTGGCTTGAAATCTCATGTTGCTGTTTATCTATTAGGTCTCCGCCTCAAATCCCCGAAGTCATCCTACCTGAGGATATTTTCCTTGGTGTAGTTTCTGCCCTTAGGATCGAATTCAACAGGGCTTTTGCAATTCTTCGAGATATCTCATCTGGGAAAGATCTGAAGAAGTTCCTCACAGTATGTCAATCTTCTGGTTCTTTTATGGTCGTATAATATAAGTTAGTTAAGTTTCAAGTCATTGATTTTATCATTTTTATGTTTGAAATAAATAATGCTCTAGATCCAGAATTACTAAATGCCTAGCCCATCCTCTGATCATAAGAGAACTAAATTCTGGTTTTAGGTAATTGCTGGCCTCTGGGTATTTTCAATTCTGGGAAGTTGCTGGAACTTCCTGACCTTGTTATACATATGTAAGTAGCTTGTTAACCTTTATTTCATTATCGGAGTATCATTCTGCATTTATAATTTTCATTTGCTTTTTCTGATTTTGTTTTCACGGATTTTCCCTACACTCCAAAACAGGTTTTGTTTTGTTGCAAACGGTGCCTGTGCTTTACGAAACATTCGAGGACCAGGTCGATGCTTTTGCTGAGAAAGCCGAGGCTGAGATCAAAAAGCAGTATGCTGTGTTCAATGTCAAGGTTTTGAGTAATTATCTCAAAGGCCCGTTGAAAACCATGAAGCTGGCTTAGTCCTGCAGATGTCGTTTCTTCTTTTTGTTGTTGTGACTCATTCATCCGATAGAGCCCCGTTGTATTGGTTTGGTTTTGACTATTTAGGTTCGTATTTTTTAAAAAATATATGCTATTTTGTGAGGCAGTTGATATAGCTGCAAAATTTCAATTGTGAGCGTAAATTATCCCTTGGAATTCATCAGTCATTCAGTAGTCATGTTTATGTTTTTTGGGTTGCCTTAAAAAATAGTTATGTTCTTTATCCTCGGACAGGAGCCGTGTTGATGTTTATTGATTCATCCAATTTTCTGAAGCTATGGCTTCTTTTATACTGTCTTTGGTGCTAGTTCCGTTTTTTTTTTTAAATGTATATCAAACGTCCATAACAGCTCCTCTAGATCACACAACGTGAAGGGAACTCTTCTTTTGCATTATTTCATATCCAATTGGAGCTGAGTCTCTCGACAATTTCAAGTTTGGAAGTCCACTGCATGGAAATGAATTGTAGATCAACAAAATGAATAAATTTTTGCTTCTAATTGAATTCAATTGACTGGACATTATAATGATCCGTGGGCATAATTTTATATCCAATTGTAATGAATTGAAATTCCTTCTGCATGGGCTATATATTTGAGATTCCACATCTTTTGTACCCCAAGTAAAATTTCTGATGGATTTGGAAAAAGTGAGCCTCGCAAATTGGGTAATCTTAATGATGTCCTTTAGGGTAGGCCTATCTCTTCTAATTTTGATGGATCCTTTATGTCACAACCTACGTATGGTTTGGGATATGATCCAAATCCACTGAGAAAGACTAAAGTCAAGAAGGTTCCTCAAACCTAATCATGATTCAAATTTATGAAGTTACAGAAGAGAAATTAGAAGAGTCGAGACCTTCAGTGTTTAATCGAATATGAAGTGAGAATGATGGTGTTTCGATATTTAAAAGGATAAATGGAGAACCTTCCACAGTAGTTGACATAAAAAGGTAAATTTCTGTTTTCAAAAGGTTAAGTGAGGATCATTCTTTATCTACTCAAATTGATAAGAATGTACTAGCTCCTGAGAAGTCATCTAAAAGACAATCTGTATTCTCTCAACTTGGAATTAAAACTTCTAATCTATGGGTCAGTTTGATTGCAAATGTGAAAAATTGGTGAAAAGAAAATGAATTTCAGGGAATTGAATTGCTTAGAAATTGTTTTACTGGGAATTCCACCTGGTTCATTTGGCTTTGTTTTTCGTGAAAATTTTCAATTAAGTGGATAAAATTTATTAAAATTGGTGATAGAATTTGTTTGGATTGC